ACAGTGTTGTATAACTACCACCACTATTTCCAGAACTTTTTTTATCATCCCAAACAGAAACTCTGTAATTATTCTTCCTTCCTCCCATGCTGGTAACTTCTGTTCTACTTCTGTCTCTATGAATTTTCCTGTGCTAGATATTTAATATAAGTGGAATCATACAATCTTTGTTCTTTTGTATCTGGCTTATTTCATTTAGCATAATGCTTGCTAGAGTCATCCATCCGGCAGCACAGATAAAAATCTCATTCCTTTTTTTGGCTGAATAAAATTCTATTGTATGTATATACCATGTTTTGTTTATCCATTCATGTGTTGATGAACATTTGGGTTGTACCCACCTTTTGGCTGTTGTGAATAATGGTGCTATGAACACTGGTGTACAAGTATGTATTCGAGTCCCTGCTTTCAATATTACTTAATAATGTCTGTTCAACAAACAGCTGGCAAAATTCCTGAAAATTTAGTAATCTGCTCTCATAAGCCTGTTAGAGCCAGCTCTGGCACAACACTGAAAACATAATTTATCCAATTGCATCTAAACAAGGGCCAATTTGGGATTCACCTCACCACATAGCCTCTTCCAAATTTGCCTGATGATAAGAATTCCCCGGGACCTCTTAAAATATTGGTTCCTAGGCCTTCCTGGGAAATTCTGAAAGTCTGAGGTGACTTTTCTCATTGGAATTTTTCTCAGTCTGGAAAACCTGATATTAACCCCCAGTACCACCAGATCTAGACTGAGGGCAGGGGGTAAAACTGTGGTGTCCTAAAGGAGAGGAGGTGAGAGTAAGTCCTACAGGGAGAACTTGCATGACTTGTAGCAAATTTGGGGGTGGCATTTTTTCTCTCCAAAATCCTTCCCAACTCCAATATTTGTTGACTATACAGTTCTCTCCAGCCTGTCTCCCTGCTTCCCATCTTAGGAAAGAACACCTTCCAGAGAGAGGCAAGTGGAAATCATTAGGCTCAGCAATTTAACACCATCTCAGAAAGCTTGCATATCATTAAATTGTTTAGAAACATGCTTTGAAGTTATGAGTTTGCCATTCTGTGGTGTTATTTTGATATCCTGACAAGATATTTTTAGAGCACATAAAGCCCAAATTAAAACATTGCTACCAAAAAAAAAAAAAGTGAAATTAAACCAGGGCTCCATAAATGGAAAACTACAGTAAACATCAGATAGGAGTGAAGGAAAAAGTACCAAATATTTTTGAGAACTATTTTGAGCAGAGAAGAGATGAAGAGATGCTTCTGACCAGCATGCAGAGATGTGCCTATGTCCTGCCAGGGTGAGAGGGAAAGGTGTCACGCCTATAGGCCCTACCGTGACAGGCTCTCACCCTGGGATTGGTGCAGGAGGAGCTTCATTCCCATTGGTGAGGGACGGGCATAGGCTGTTGGTAGGGGATGCAGCACTTCAGCTTTACTGGACACAGTCAAGGATTTTACTGGCTTTCTCGTTTGTCACTGGTTTCTTGGTTTAGGTCTGGAATATGGTTATAGTTAGGCCTATAACCCCCTTGCCTTCTTCCTTTATCCTGTTTCTTTCCAGATTAGCTGTGTTCTGGCATTTCTCACAATGGAGGGCTTCCAAGAGCTCAGATTTAAAGACCCATCTGAAAAACCACTGCTGAGAAGGTCTACATCCTTAGGTTAGACCTCTTAGATCATTGGTTCTTAACTTCTTTAGGGCTACAGACCTCTCTGATTACCTGATGAAGGCTACAGGTCCTCACATATAACTCGTTAGTTAGAATTTCAAAGGGTTTGTTGACTCCCTCAAGTCTATCAGTGAACCCCATGTTAAGAGACTGCCTCGGGTAGTGATAAGAGTCCTTCATGGCCTTGGATTAGGGACGCCTTGGCCCTCAGCTGGGAACTGTCCCATTTCCTCCAGACCCAGCACTTCAGCTATGATGGGAGTTTGAGTGGTCTTCCTTTTTTTGGAGACTTGATACAATTCTAATTGGATAACTGGACAATTCAGAACAAGATCAAGAGGCTTCTTTTGAAGAAAGATCTTCAAGTCTATGAGAGGATGCATAGACAGTGGATGCCAAGAGTCGTTTTCCCTGTTCACTGAATTCAGGGTATACAACAAAAATTTCATGAGCTCTATCTGGTCACTAGAGGGTATGAGTGAGACATGATGTTTATGCAACTGGCCCATACCATTAAGAAACATGCCAGCCTGCATGGAGTAGAGAGTGAACAAATTAACATCCTCACCCCCACCTTCTCCACTCCAGACCCACCTGCCTAAAGTATATGGCACATAGAGTTTTCAAAATTAACTATTGGAGGAATAACTCAGGTCAATGAGTTGATTTGCTAACCGGCCATTTTAGAGTCATTTTCAGCTAACTGGGTGGATTTTGAAGACTGTCTCCCAAAGGCAATGGATTTTTATTTTGTTTTAGTTAATGTTGAGTGTTGAGCCATTATTCCTGGCTGCTGTCAGACTCAATGGTCTCTTCAGGCTACTCCCTAAGGTTGATAATAAAACGCTTATGGGACTAAGGCAGGCATCCAGAGTCTAGGACTTGTTGGAGGCTCTGGAGAGAAGAGAAGTGGAGTGGGTTGAGGGAGCAGGCAGGGACAGATAAGCTTTGAGATTCTGACTTACTTCCCCCTTCTCGATTGTAAATATTATTTGGGGCAGGGGGAAGGATAGATATATAACATCTATATCTATATTCAATTCCTTGTTTCTTTTTACTGTTTTCTTCTAGTGTCGGTCCATATTCATGTCAACTTATCTAAGTAGGAGTTATAATGTAATACTCTTTTGTGTTCTGTGTTTAAACTTAGTATTATATCACATTGTTAATGATGTTATTTATTCCTTTTAAAAACAGATTCAGCTCTCTCTCTTTTTTTTACTGTAAATGTAAAGCATATTCATTATTGCTTAAATGCAGACAATATGCCCAAAAAATGAAAAATCATTTTGAAGTGTACCCTTCAGGATACATTTTCTATGCATGTATAATTACATACTTTCAAAAATGGAATCATACCAGACATGCTGCTTTAGGTCTTGTTTCCCATTTGTTAAATATAGATGTAAAGTTGAAATTAAAACATTTTTAATTTTAATTATTACTATATAAATATAAAATAATGTTTTAATAATTAGTAGTATTTTGGTGGTAAGGCATTTTTAAAATTAATTTTGTTTACTATTTAATAGAGTAGTATTTTTAAGTATTGGTGTCCCATAATTTATTTACCCTTTCCTACTGATGATACTTCAGTTGTTTCCAAATTGTCACCACTGCAACCATCCTCATACATATTCTCTCGGGACCAATTCCTGGAAGTAGAATTTGTGGGCCGAAGGGAATGTACATTTAACATTTTGCATTATTCCCAGAAGTAAGAGAGCCCCTTTCCCCGTACTCTTGCAAATATAATTTTCCTTCTTTTTTTAAAATCCATTTTCATGTTTTATATTTGAGAGAGAGAGAGCGCGCGCGCGCAGCGGAGGGGCAGAGAGACAGAGAAGGAGCCATAGAATCCGAAGCAGGCTCCCGACTCTGAGCTGCCAACACAGAGCCCAGCGGGGGGTTCCAACTCAGGAACTGTGAGATCATGACCTGAGCCGAAGTCCGAAGCTTAACCTGAGCCACTCAGACGCCCCTAATTTTCCTTAATAGCCACAAAATAGTCCTGGATTAATGCTCAGAGACCACAGCTTCCAGTTTGGAGGAGAGCCACATTCCCCTAGGACTATCAGGAGCCACATTGTCCCTATCAGGTGCAGGTACCGCCGCCAGATGGCGAGAGGGAGGCCTGGGACGACCCTTGGGGGGTCTGGAGGGTGGGGAATACTAGCCCGGCTCGTTTGGCCACGGCGATCCGACTCGACCCCGCGCGGCCGAAGGCAGGAGAGGAAGTGGAAAGTATGGACTTGGAGGAGACGGGCCCCGGGCGCAGAGGACATGAGGGCAACGGCCTGGAGACGGACTTCAGCGTCGCAGGGAAGAAGATGCGGGTTGTGTAAACGGAGGCTGCAACGGTCCCATCAGCGCCGTACCCCGCGGTGCGCGCCGGTGGAGGTCGCGAGCGGGCTCTGGGGCCGCGTGAGGGGAGAGGTCGGATTTCACGCCTCCGAGAACTCACTGGCTGAACGGGCCCGGGAGACGCAGGGACCCCGCCGGCAGCGCTTACTCTCCTTGGAGGGCGGTGTCGGTGGGAAAGGCTAGAGCGGTTGGGATCCAACAGAAAGCCCCTCGCCCCACTTAGTGGCCTCCGACCTGTGCAAGTCACGGGACCTCTATGCGTCTGGGCTCCTCTTCTATGAAATGGGATCACTGATGGTACCACCTCAGAGAAGACTGTTGTGAGGATTAATTGAGATAATACCTGGTGGCTTGTATTTTTTGCACACTCCCTCAAAACACCACCACTCTTCAACCAACACCCAACACAATTGACTTATTAACTTCCTGGAGGCTACAGAGGAGTAGAAGAGAAGATCTCAGTAGAGATTTACTGTATTCAATTCTCTTGGTGTACCCTCTAGTCCTTCGCCCCAAATCCAGAAAGAAATGTTATAAACCATGGTCTTCATCTCAGGAAGCCCACGGTGTGACTGAGGAGTCGTGAATGGTACACATGCAAGAAAATTACTTCACAAGTCTTACCAGTGTTCACAAACACTAGCATCTGACAGATCTCCTGGGAGAAGAGGTGCCAGACCCTCCTGGCCAGCTGTGAGCTCTAAGAAAGTCCTGGGTCTACCCGGCACATCTTGCTCACTTCCCTGTTCCAGTTCCCAGTTGAACAAGATGGATGGGCCACCCCTAAGAATGAGGGCCTGGCAGGGGGAGGGGAGCTAGACTCTGTGTTGGCAGTTGCCATGGTTTCACTCTGAGTTCTGGAGCCAACCTGCCCACCCGCTGAGACACTCAGGTCACAGAAGCAGTAGGTCAGAAGCCTGAGGGGATATAAGCAGTGCCACTCCGGAGCCCCCCAGTGCACCTGTTGAGATGGAGACCTCAAATGGGCAAGGGGGTGAAGGAGACAAGCCCCTAAAGAAGGTGAAGTGGGGTGAGGGATGTGAGGGAGGGAAGAAAGAAGGTCCTTGAGAGGCTAGTCTTGGAAAGCAGAGAACATGAAATTAAGGGAAGGAAAGAAGAAGGAAAAATGTTGATGTACATGAGTTAGCAAGAGACCAAAAGAACAAAAGGATAATTCATTCAAACACAAGTTTATCAAAGACGTGTATTCCTGGCAAGATGATTGTTGGTTATGGAGACACAAGGGCGTGTGTGTGTGTGTGTGTGTGTGTGTGTGTGTGTGTGTATGTGTGTGTGTACACTTGTGTCATGGTCTGTGTGTGTGGTTGTGTGGTGTGAGGGGTGTGTTTATAGAGTTGATCGGCCAGAGTCCCCTCTCTCTGGGGCCTGGAGGAGCCTAAGATACATACTCTCTCCATCTACTTTCCTCCGTTTCCCTGGTCTCTCCCTTCAGAGTGGTCTGGGCCAGGATCTTCCTTGTTCCCCCTGAGCACAAGCAAGAATTAATGCTCCCTTTTCTGAGAGGCTTTTGAAAGGTCAGGTGCAAATCTCACCATGTCAGTTTAATCCTGTGCTTTGACTTTAAGTATTATTTCGTAGTCACTTTGTCTTCATTAATTTTCAGCTTTTGGGGGGGCCCACTTTTGCTGTCAGAAATCTCCTCCTCATCACCATCACTGTCACATGGTTTTCTGAGTGCCTGTTATCATGGCATGATGCTAAAGGTTAGAGGTGGTCCTGGGGCTTAGGCACTCAGTAAATGTTTGTTTGAATGAATGAATAAATGACTCCTTGCTCCCCCCAAGGAGTTTCTTACATCTCTTGGCGCCTCAAAGTGTTCTTATCTGTAACCAGGGATAATGATATCTAACCTCACAGATATCTAACCTCCCACAGATTTGTGGGAGAATAAAATGAGTTCATGTTTATCAAGTGATTTGTACAATTAACTACTATTCTGTGCTATGATTATTATAAAAGAAATGGATAGGGCATTCTAGGTTTCCTAAGCAGGGATGTTCAGGGATGGGTTTCTTTCCTAGGGCTTACCGCTTCAGGACTGGGCCAAGAAAGGGTCCTCAGGGAAAATGGAGAAGGGCTTTGGCTGGAATTTGGACCACTGGTTGCCTAGCACTGCCCCTCAAGAGCACCTGCCTAAGCTCCCCAGCTGACCATTGCCTCCTGCTTCTTCCCAGGTGACAGATGCACCCTACTTAGAGAAGAGCTCCCGCACCACCCCTTCTGGAGACTCACTTGTACGCCATGCCAAGGGTCTGGACCAGGACACCTTCAAAATTGTAAGGGGCCAGCCCAGGACCCTGTCTCTTGTTCCCTACAGGTCAGGAGACCTGGATCAGAATTGGCAGGCCTCAGAACCATAGCTTATTGTCCCACGTGTCATGCTCTTGGGAAGGAAGTGGGGCAGGAGCTTGACTGGAGCCTCCTTACTTAACCCGCTTAACACTTCCTGGCTCATAAAGGCTTCTGGTTACTTGGGGCTCCCCATCTGCCTCTTTTCTCCTATGACCCCTCACTTGACCTGTTGCCTCCTCAGTGTAAAGAATATCTAAGACCACTGAAGAAGTTCCTGCGAAAGTTGTACCTGCCCAGGGACCTTCCCCAGAAGAAGAAGCTAAAGTACATGAAGCAGAGCCTGGTGGCCCTAGGGGACCACATCAACACCTTTCTGCAACACTACTGCCGAACCTGGGAAATCAAGCACTGGAGGAAGTAGGGCAGCCTCCTTGCCCTTCCCACTATTCCCACTCCTGGGCCACATACCTTTCCCACCCCCGATTCAAGGTCCCACCTCAGTCAAGATCCCCGAGTCCTTCATTCCTTCATCTTTATGTGAAAGAGTCAGGATCCTAGAGTGAGCATGGTGAAGAGGGGGTGGAGAGAATGGGATCTCTAGTTACTCAGGGCAGCATTGATTCATGGCAGCTACGTACACAGTGGACAAAGGACTCTCCTGACTCTGGAGAATGACCTCTGATTGAACAACTGCTGTGTGGTGTGGGTGCCCATCACCAGGTTGGGGTATTCAAGGTCTAGCAAATTTCCACCTCTCCACGTCCCCAGCGAAATCCAAGGAGGCAGCATGTGGTCCAATTCTCCCTGGGTGGGTCCTGGACACAAGACAAATGCTGAAGGGAGAGGGGCTGTGCTCTGCCTCCCTCAGCCTTGGTTTCTCCCCTGCAGGATGCTCTGGCGATTTGTCTCTCTCTTCTCAGAACTGGAGGCAAAACAGCTTCGCAGGCTCTACAAGTACACCAAGAGCAACCAGACAGCCAAGTTCCTGGTGAGGCACTCAGGAAAGCTCCTCCCCAGGCCTGGCTGAGGGTTGGCTGGTATATTCTTGGATTGTGGGGGGAGGCCTGGGGCTGAGGGTCCCTCTGATACCACCAGCATCCTTCCAGTCATTTCCACACTCACTGGCTGGGGAAGACCCCACTGCCCCTACCTTTATCCCTATAGGGGGCGAAGTGGGGCTAAAGAGGGCAGAGGCTCAACTTCAAGTTCTTGATACTCTCCACACCAACACCCTGATGTTAACAAGGGCAGGGACCTTCCTGAGGAGCTATAGGTGGGGACGGTTGAGGCCAGGCAGAAAGGCACAGCCAGCTTGGGGAAGGCTCCAAGGACTAGCAACAGCCTGGCCTGGCTTTGGTCAAAAACAGTGACTCTCAAACATTTTGGTTTCAGGTCATGTTCACTCTCTTAAAACCATTGAGAAGCCCCAAAAGCATTTATGTAGGTTATATCAATCGATATTTGCCTCATCCAAAATTAAAACTAAAGAAAAAATTCAAAATAAGTACTTACTAATCCAATAAAAAATAAAAGCAAGGAGCCCACTACATTTTAACATAAATAATTTTTACAAGAAATATCTGTATTTTCCAAAACCAAAAAAATTAGTGAGAAGAATAGCATTGTTTTACATTTTTGCAAATCTCTTTAGTGTCTGGCTTAATAGAAGACAGCTCAGCTGTGTTCTCATATCTGCTTCTACAATCTCTTATGATATGTGATTTGGCTTAAGTACATAATGAAAACCCAGACTTGCACAACTGTATAGTTAGAGAAGAGAGGAATATTTTATTAGCATTTTCAGATAGTTATGGATTTTTTTTAAAATTTATTTACTTTGAGAGAAAGAGAGAGCAAGGGAGAGGGGCAGAGAGAGAGAGAGAGAGCAGACTCCATGTTCGGTGAATAGCCCAATGCGGGGCTCGACTCTCATGATAGTGAGATCGCCACCTGAGCTGATAGCAAGAGTTGGACGCTTAACCTGCTGAGCCATCCAGATGCCCCTGTATATTTTTCTTTGCTACCACACCAAAACTCAACAAGTGGCAGCTACTTAGTAGCAATGTGGAATCTGAAACCATATGAATGAACGTTATAAAATACTTCTTTTCCTTTTTTTAGCACTTCTAGGTTTACAAAAAAATTGGGTAGAAAGTTCAGATGTTTCCCATATACTACCCCCTCTTGTTTTCCTTATTATTAGCATCTTGCATTCGAGAGGTACATTTGTTACCATTGGTGATCCAGTATTGACACATTATTAACTAAATAATGTCCATAGCTTACATTAGGGCCCACTCTTTGTGTTGTACATTCAATAGGTTTTGACAACTGCATAATGACATGTATCCACCATTACAAAGCATACAGAATAGTTTTGCTGCCTTAAAAATGCCCTGTCCTCCACGGTTTCATCCATTCATTCTTTCCCTCCAAACTCCTGGCAATCATTGATCTTTTTACTGTCTCAATGTTTTTTTACTTTTTCCAGAATGTCATATAGTTGGAATCACACAGTATGTAGCCTTTTCAGATTTGTATCAATGACTTTTTCACACTGGCTTACATTAGACTCCATTGGTTTCTCTCTTGCACTTTGGGTAGACCCCACTTTTCAGGGGGTCAGTGAGGTCAAAATATTTCAGGGGCCCCCAGGGGCTCACAGAGCACACTTTGAGAATCACTAATTCAAAATAATAATCATGGGTAACAGTTTCTATGTTCCAGCACTTTATGTTCCCTCCCGTGATCTTCAAAAGTAACCCTGGGGCACCTGGGTGGCTCAGTCAGTTAAGCGTCCGACCTCAGCTCAGGTCATTATCTCATGTCTCATGGGTTTGAGCCCTGAATCTCGCTCTGTGCCAACAGCTCAGAGCCTGGAGCCTGCTTCAGATTCTGTCTCCCACTCTCTCTGCCCCTCCCCTGCTCACACTCTGTTTCTCTCTCTCAAAAGTAAACAATTTAGGAAAAAAAAAAAAAAGTAACCCTACATGGTAACTAGAAATAGTGTTCACAGTGTGTGAATGAAGATACCAAATGCAGAGAGCTTGACCCAGACCACATAGCAAGTAGAGGGAAGAGCCAGGTTCAAACATCTGGTTCAGAGGAAAGCCCTCCTCTAACTGTGGCACCTCACTCTTGCTGGGCAGCTTTAACGAAATCCTTTCCCCCCTTGGGTCTCTATTTCTTCCTCTGAACATGAATAGGTGAGTCGTTTCAGTGATTCCTCCTCTGAGTACAAGGAGTTGCCATTTTAGTGATACCTGGATTTCACTGGCCAGGAAAATCTCAAAAGATATTTTCAGGTTCTCAATTTTAATTTTGTCAAGGACTTTAAAATAAGTACCATTGTTTCATTACAAAGAAATGCATAAGACGCTATAATTCTAGACTAATACACACATGAAAAAATGCTCAACATCACTCATCATCAGGGAAATACAAATCAAAACTACAATGAGGTTATCAGCTCACACCTGTCAGAATGTCCAAAATTAACAACACAGGAAACAACAGGTGTTGGCGAGGCTGCGGAGAAAGGGGATCTCTTACATTGTTGGTGGGAATGCAAATTGGTGCAGCCACTCTGGAAAACAGTATGGAGGTTCCTCAAAAAGTTAAAAATAGATGGGGCGCCTGGGTGGCGCAGTCGGTTAAGCGTCCGACTTCAGCCAGGTCACGATCTCGCGGTCCGTGAGTTCGAGCCCCGCGTCGGGCTCTGGGCTGATGGCTCAGAGCCTGGAGCCTGTTTCCGATTCTGTGTCTCCCTCTCTCTCTGCCCCTCCCCCGTTCATGCTCTGTCTCTCTCTGTCCCAAAAATAAATAAACGTTGAAAAAACAAAAATTTAAAAAAAAAAAAAAAGTTAAAAATAGAACTGCCATACGTTCCAGCAATTACACTACTAGGTGTTTTACCAAAGAATACAAAAATACAGATTCGAAGGGGGCATGCACCCTGAAGTTTATAGCAGCATTATCAACAATAGCCAAACTGTGGAAAGAGCTCAAATGTCCAGTGACTAATGAATGGATAAAGGAGATGTGGTACATATACACAATGGAATATTAGTCATAGAAAAGAACGAAATCTTACATTTGTGATGATATGGATGGAGCTAGAGTGTATTATGCTAAGTGGAATAAGTCAGTCCGAGAAAGACTACCATATGATTTCACTCGTGGAATTTTTTTTTAAAGTTTGTTTATTTTGGGGGGCACCTGGGTGGCTCAGTTGGTTAAGTATCTGACTCTTCATTTTGGCTCTGGTCATGATCTCATGGTTTGTTAGACCAAGCCCTGCATTGGGCTCTATGCTGACAGTGCAAGGCCTGCTTGGGATTCTTTCTCCCCCTCTCCCTCCCTCTCTGTCCCTCTCCTGCTCATGCTCCCTCTCTCATTCTCTCTCAAAATAAATAAATAACTTAAAAAATAATAATGTTTATTTTTGAAGGGAAGAGAGACAGAACATAGTGGGGGAGGAGCAGAGAGAAAGGGAGACACGGAATATGAAGCAGACTCCAGACCCTGAGTGGTCAGCACAGAGCCCGACTAGGGGCTCGAACTCAGGAACTGGGAGATCATGACCTGAGCAGAAGTTGGACGCCCAACTGACTGAGCCACCCAGGCGCCCCTCACTCGTGGAATTTAAGAAACAAAACAGATGAGGGAAGACTGGGTGGCTCAGTTGGTTAAATGTCTGGCTTCGGCTCAGGTAATGATCTCCCTATTCGTGAATTCAAAGCCCGGTGTCGGGCTCTGTGCTGACAGCTCAGAAATAAAGAGAGGCAAACCTAAGACTCTTAACTATAGAGAACAAACTGAGGGTTGTTTGTTGGAGGGGAGGTGGGTGGGGGACAGGCTAGATGGGTGATGGGTATTAAGGAGGGTATTTATTGTGATGGGCACTGGGTCTTATATGTAAGTGACAAATCACTAAATTCTACTCCTGAAACTAATACTACACTATATGTTAACTAAACAGAATTTATTTATTAAATTTTTTTTTAATGTTTATTTATTTTGGGGGAGAGGAGCAGAGAGAGAGTGGGAGAGAAGATCTGAAGCGGGCTCTGTGCTGACAGCAGAGAGCCCAATGCAGGGCTCAAACTCACAAACAGTGAGATCATGACCTGAGCCGAAGTCGGATGCTTAAACTGACCCACCCAGGAGCCCCAGCTAACTAGAATTTGAATACAAACTTGAACAGAAAAAGATACTACAACGCTAAGAGTTGGAGGATGTATATCAAAGTAAAGAACCACCCAATAAAAGACAGTTGGCAGCCTGGCCTCAGTGTCTCTGTTTCTCTCCCACATCTGTGACCCTTTGTTCCTGCTGACTAGGCACGTGTGAGGTGCAGCCAGACCACAGTAATTTCCTAACAAGGGCAGGGCTGGGGCTCTGGAGTGTGGGGCCTGTCTTCTCCATACTCTCTAAACATTATGGGCCCATTGCAGGTGGCGTTCTGTCCCCTGTACACCCTGGAGAGCTCCTTGCTGGCCAACCAGGAAGACAGCCTGCCCAAGCTCTGCAGTGCCTGGGGGCTGCACGGCAACATCAGCGGCATGAAGGAGAGGCTGTCCAAGATACAGGCCCCTGGCCGAGAGGCCTCCCTGCTGGGGGAGCCAAGATCCCAGATCCAGGTCATGAAAGGTAATGCCCCTTCCATGTGGGAACCATGTCTGGAGGAGGGGTCTCACCCGCGGTGCCACATGCCCCCTACCACCACCCCCCGCCCCCCGCTCCCAGCAGCCTGACACGTTTCCCTTCCCATCTTCTTTTTAGCCCTCCATTTCTCTTTCTGTCCATTCTCCTTCCTCTTCTGCACTTTTTTCTTTTCTCTGTTTTGTCCCCCTCCCTGCAGGCATGTTTATCATAGAAAGTTTGAAATGTACAGATAAGTATAAAACCCAAGAGGGGAAAATCACCCATTACCCAGAGACCATGACAGGTAACATTTGGGTGTGTTGCCTTCAGTGTTCTGTATGATTTCCCTCTGGAGGTCTTGTGATATATAGTTTTGGTTCCTGCATTTTTCAGTTAACAGTTTAAATGAAGGCACTTTCCCACAAGACTAGAAGCAGAGACAGTCTAGCAGCCAAGAGTGGGGGCTTCAAACAGAGGCAGGGTGCCTACTCCCTGTTTCAGGTGGCTACGGGCTAAGGGAGTGGTTCATTCCCAAGGCCGGGAGAAAGTCGAGTCAGATGGACTGGGGATGGCCTCCCAGCAGCTTTGGTCTCTGCAGTGATTGCACCGCTTGGTGCACTGGACGGAGGCTGTGGGGTTAGGGACAGACTTTCCAGCGAGGGGTCCCAGCCAAGGTTGGAACCTACGAAGGCCCCCTCCTGTGCACTGAGGTGCAAAGAGATGTGGGAGCCACTTACCCCTCCCTCTTCCGGATCTGGCTCCGGGGAACCCAGTTAGCTGCTCTTGCTTAGCTATTGGGGGAGAAAGTAAAGGCAAACAAGGTGGCCTAGGACCTCAAAGTGTGGTCCTAAATTGGAACCAGGTGCTCCTCTGAGGGTCAGGCTGCCTGGGGCTGATGCAGGCCAGCAGCTCTCGGGGCCTCTTCCACCAGTCATAGCTGCACCGAGTGGGAGAGCAGGAGTGAGAATAGGGAGGGGGCGGTGGTCACGAGTTAGGCAATTCCAGAGACCCAGAGCCCTGTCTGGGCTCTGTGAGGGTCCTTGGCCCTGGTGCCTGCAGTTTAAATTGAGAAAGCAAAACATACAATGGGATGAAGGCCAAGACGTCATAAAGATGATGTTGGCCAAGCTGCTCACGAATCAGATCAGGAAAGTGAGGTCTGGGCTTTTGGGTCAGCCTTTCCCTGTACCAGGTGCTCTGTATCTCTTTATTTCACTTAACGCCTGCAACATCCTCATGAGGAGGGTATTATTGTCCCCCTTGCACAAATGAGCAATCTGAAGCCATAGGGCAAAGGGTGGGACAGGCTGACTGGAGGAAGTAACTCTGGGACAGGCTTTATTTGTAAATTTTTTTTTTCAACATTTATTTATTTTTTGGGACAGAGAGAGACAGAGCATGAACGGGTGAGGGGCAGAGAGAGAGGGAGACACAGAATCGGAAACAGGCTCCAGGCTCCGAGCCATCAGCCCAGAGCCCGACGCGGGGCTCGAACTCACGGACCGCGAGATCGTGACCTGGCTGAAGTCGGACGCTTAACCGACTGCGCCACCCAGGCGCCCCTGGGACAGGCTTTAAAGAAAGGGAAAAGGAGAGGAGGGGGGAAGGAAGAGTAGGAGGAGAGAGGAAAGGTGTGTGCAGAGGTGAGGGGCAATGAGTGGACAGTCCGGAGCCTGGAGGTGAATGGAAGAGCAGGTTGGAGAAGTGCAGGATGGGGAGGAGGGGAGGATGGAAGGGTCTGTGGGGGTGGGGGGGTGGGCGGGTAATAGGAAAAAGCCTTGCATGGTAGGTTAAGAACTTTGGCTTTCATGTAATTCTTTTTTTTTTTTAATGTAATTCTTAAAATAACATTTTATTCCTACCTATAAACATAAGCATAGCATAGAAAATTGGGTAATACCGATAAACAAAAATAAGCAAATATAAACACCACATTGTTATCACTACTGCTAGCACTTTCCAGATGTTTTTTATGCATATAAATACCTGTATGTTAGCCAAATGAGACCTCGCTGTGTATAGGATTTTGCTTAGAACTTGCTTTTTTCAGTTAATTAGATCAACCTTCCATGTCAACGTTTTCATTTCATCTCATTGTTGGATTAAATACTTCATATTCAAATTTTCCAAGTAGTCAAAGATATTTTTTGCGCTGATTTCTCAAGCATGCATTGCCCTGGTTATGCCCCTTCCATCTCTTTTAACCTAACAATGTTCTCTTTTTTACACCCTGACTTGTTGAGGAGATCAGGCCACTGATCTGCCGAATGTTCCACTTTTGATTCTTGTTGCTTCCTTTTGGCGTTTTTAAAGCTTGTTCCTCTTTAGATAAAAAGTCTTGGTGAATTCACATTAAACATTTGTTTGGGATACATTAGAGCCGAGGTTGTGTTCTTCACATTGTGGTAATATGACAAAACACACACTATTTGGCGGGCCCACCAGGAATGGGCTAAGTAAGGTCAATCACTGAGTCTATTCGTGATATTAAATGTATCCCATGTGGTGTTTCTTTGACTCTATGTTCATAAGTCCGTTTTTACGAAAAAAGATGGCGGTGGTGTTTGCAAACAGTCTAGCAGCAAAGTCCTGGGACCTGGGGCATGAAACCTGAGAGGGGTGCGGGGAAGAATCAGAGTCAAGACACATGGTATAGTCCTGACTGTGCCCCTAACTTGCCTTGGGCTTTGGGTGGGCTATTTCCTTACTCTGTGCTTGGGTGAGATCCTTCATCTGTAAATTAGGGTGATACCATCTTCCTCTGCCACAGGGTTCTTTGAGAAAAGAGGGACATAGGTTGCAAGTTAAGATAAGATTGTGTTGTTCTTCCTTTCTGTCCTTACCATATCCCCCGAATGTTACAGCCTGAGATTCTCTTACTCTTTGTGATGTTATCAGGACTGTGTTTGACCTTCCCTTTTCAGATTCTCTAAGGAAACTTCCTCACAAAACAAAACTCAAGAATAAGAGAATTAAGGAAGCCCCAGAGACTCCAGAGACCTGCCCATAAGAACATCAGGCTAGAACAGAGGGCCAGCTTGCCCTGGGTCCCAGAGCACTTGTCTTCAACACCTCTGCACCCTGGGGGCTGGGACCAATGAAAGGAAAGAAGAAAACTGTCTTTATCAGAAGGATGCTCAGGTCTTAGTTACGTATAAATGGGGTGGGAAATAAACAACCTTAAGACAGTTCTACCTTACTTGGCTAACAATCATCATTCATTCGTCTTTTTAATTTATTTAAAAAATGTTTGCCAGCTACCTTCTGATTGGCAGGTATGAATAACACAGATGAATAACACAGATGAATAAGAAGTGATCACCATCATACTCTAGTGCAGGAGACACACATGAATAGACATTACAACAGGCTGAATAGAGGTGCACAGGGAAACCTCGGCAGGTGACAAAGGAGTGATGTGTGCCAGGGGAGAGCACAGTGGAGAGTGGAGGGGGCCTTGCAGCAGAAAGGGAGAAGTCTGGCAGTCTGCCTCAGTTGTCTGGACTTGGTCTCCTGGATAACCTGGGGGGAGAGAGGTAAGGGAGGTGTCAAGCAGTGGAATGAGCTGATGTGACCTGGCAATTGGGGAGATGCTCCGGAGGCAGTGAGCACAGTGCATGGAAGTGAGAGAGGGTGAAGGCCAGAGACCAAAGAAGAAATCATATCAGTAGCCTTAGCTGGGATGATGGTTCAAACTGGTGGTCAAAAGTCAGCAGCTGCATGCTGAATTCAGACCACTGATGTGTTAGTTGTTTGCCCGTTGTGGTGGTCTACTTACTGTTTAAAATTAAAAAAAAAAAATTAGTTGCCAATATTAACTTGGTACATTTCACCTTAAAAACAACAAACAGGGGCACCTTGGTGGCTCAGTCAGTTAAGCATCCGACTTCAGTTCAGGTCATGATTTCACAGTTCATGAGTTCGAGCCCTGCGTCAGGCTCTGTGCTGATGGCTCAGCCTGTAGCCTGCTTTGGATACTGTGTCTCTCTCTCTCTCTCTGCCTGCTCCCTGCTCATGCTCTCTCTTATTCTCTCTCAAAAATAAACAAAAACATTAAAAAATTAAAAAACAAACAACAAACAGCAACAGGGTCGCCTGGGTGGCTCAGTCAGTTGAATGTCCGACTTTGGCTCAGATTATGATCTCACGGTTCATGGGTTCGAGCCCCACATCAGGCTCTGGGCAGACAGCTCACATCCGGGAGCCTGCTTCAGATTCGGTATCTCCCTCTCTCTCTGCCCCTCCCACGTTTGTGCTCTCTCCCTCTCTCTCAAAACAACAACAACAACAACAACAACAGATTTCTGGTTTTTAAAAACTTGCCCCACTTGGATGTGTCTTCCCACATGACCACGCGAGGCTGGAGCTCAGAAACAATTGCTCAGGTTTCACTGATATTCTTTCTAGTTCACCACAGTCTCCACCCCCTCTCTCTTGCATCACACACTGACCTTCTTCACCCAGTTGTATCACCCATTTGACTCTTCTGGCTTTTCATATTTGCTACCTTGGGGATATACAAAGTCAATGAAGGTGTGCATAAAAGGGGATGAGTACATTTGTAACATTAGATAGAATAAAATTGACAATTTTAGGTGACAGATGTGAGAGATAGGGAGGGAGGAGGAGGAAGTGAAGATGGTAGATTTTTTGTAGATGGTTTTCAACTCCAGGAAGAGAAGCAGGTGCAATCGTTTTCTGAAAACGCGGCAGAGTCGGAACTCTGCCTGAGGCAGCAGCAGACAATGCCCAGTGCTGCCTTGGAGGGGTAGGACCAGAACATATGTGTGTGACCCTTTCTTCTCCCTTCCCTCGATTTGTCTTCATGAATGAATATCATCAAAATGTTTAAATGATAAAATGATAAACGATAAACATTAAAAAAGCTTAAATGATAATGCATGAAAGAAGGCCCCAGCTCTCTCTTTGTTCTTCACACTCATCGTCTCCCAGAAATGGCAAGATGAAGAGTACTGAGGCACAGGTCTGCAGGCCAGCCTCACTCCATTGGTCCCTGACAGTCCTAACAAAGCAGGGAGGATTTGCCAGAGAAGGCGAGCAAGCTGGAGGGTGTCCCTGATGATGGGGAGGGGGTGCTCCAGTTTTCTCCACTCCTGAGTGATTTCACTGACAAGGTCCCAGGAAAAGGGCCAGTGGTTCTGGGAACGGATGAAAACAGGGAGGTGTCCTGTGCGTGAGGCAGCACCACCCCCTAGAGGAATAATGGGATTCTATAGCAAGGTATGTGCAGAGGCAGACACCAGGAGGAAGTGGGGGGAACTTTATATCAGCCTGGGGACCAGCAGGATCCCTGAAGGCAAAATAGGCAACAGTCTTGGTTTTTGAGCCCTCTTAACTCTTTCCTCAAATTTAGTGAGGTCTCATAATTCCAAAAACGAACATCACATAACATTGCTTCACTCCAAACCCTCCAAACAGCGCAGAGGATTTTTAGGCCAGTGAAAATACTGAGTGTGATACTAGAATGGTGGATACATGTCATTATACATGTGTCCAAACCCATAAAACGGGCAATATCAAGAGTGAACCCTAGTGTAAACTAGGCACTTTGGGTGAGGATGTGTCACTATAACAGATGTATCACTCTGGTGGGGGTGTGGATAATGGGGGAGACGATGCGTGTGTGGGAACAGTGGTATATGAGAAATCTCTGAATCTTCTGCTCAGATATGCTGTGGACTTACAACTGCTCTACAAAAATATTAAAACAAAGGAATAAAACCCTCCAACAGCTCTTCATCTCATGCAGATTAAAATCCAAAGATTTTTCCGTCAGGCTCTGGGCTGATGGCTCAGAGCCTGGAGCCGGTTTCCGATTCTGTGTCTCCCTCTCTCTCTGCCCCTCCCCCATTCATGCTCTGTCTCTCTCTGTCCCAAAAATAAATAAATGTTGAAAAAAAAAATTTAAAAAAATTAAAAAAAAAAATAAAATCCAAAGATTTTTCAAGGGCCTATAAGGCCTACTATGATATATTCCCACTGTCCATTATGTTACCTCTCTGAACTCATTCTTTTCTCATACTTGTCAAGATACTCCTGCCTCAGGGCCTGTTCACTGGCCATTTCCTCCATCTGGAATGTTCTTTCCTAAGATACCCAGTTGGCTAACTCCTTCATTGCCTTCAAATCTCTGTTCAAATGTTACCTTCTCAGTGGAGCCTTTTAAATTCCAACAACTACACACATTCTGAGTATCCCTTAGTCTATTTTTATTTTCCTAAGACACGTATACCTCTCAAATATTATATAATATAATGATTATATTTCTTATTTATTGATGGTATCCTCCCACTAACATGTAAGTTCCACAAGGGCAGAGTTGTCTGTTTTGTTCATTGCTATATCCCAAGCAATTACAACAGGACCCAGCACAAGAGTACGTACTTAATAAACATTTGTAGAATGAATTAATGAATGAACTAACAAATCAAACTAGAGCATTTAGTCCAAACACTTCCTGGTTCAGAGGGGGGAAAAAGAGGCCCAAGAAGAAAGGTTGACTTCTCCAAGTTTGGACAGTAAGTAAAACACCAGAACTGGGACTAGAATTCAGACTTGATGCCTACTGGCCATACATACATGTGTCATGCCGGCCACCTCCCATACACCAATGACACGTGCTCTCCTTGCTCTTGGCCAAAATGCTTGTATCACTCAAATAACTCAAAATGCTTAATGTATTGCTTCTAGGATAATTTGTATTTTCTTAGTTAACATATCTCTGCATAAAGTATGACTCTCTAAGCTGGACTTGGAGACACCAGAAGCAGGTGGTTGGGGAAGGTTATTTGGAGGTGCAGGGGCCTATAGTGCCGTAGGGGTAGTCTACTGTGGGGAAACTGCCTCGCTGATAGCCAGACCAGGCAGCCTTCAAGAAGAGTCCCTTCCCTAGAGAATAGTGGATACTTTCCCTAAAGTCTTAAAGGGAAGAGGCTCCCGACCACAGATATACTGATTGATCACTGCCTGACCCACTCCTATTCCAGGCTACAGGAGTCAGCTGGCAGCCTCCTCTTCCTATAACACTACCACAAATGCATGTAACTCAGCACAGATGGCAAAAGGCTTTGTATGCATTCGCATTGGATCTTCATGACAAGCTTGTGGGAGAGACTCTGCCCCATTATAGAGAAGAAAACAGCTAAGCACAGCTTAGAGGCTGGCACAGCTGAACTGAAATACTTTCTGTGTCTTCTGACTGCACACCCAGTGCTCCTGTGTTTTACGATTTTTCTTTTGCGCATGCATTTTTCTTTTTTTAAAGCATTTTTTAAAGTTTATTTATTTATTTTGAAAGAGAGAAAAGGAGAGGGCTGTGAGTGGGGGAGGGGAAGACAGAGGGAGAGACAGAATCCCAAGCAAGCTGTCAGCGTAGAGCCTAATCAATGCAGGGCTCCATGTCACATCTCCATCTCATGAATCGTGAGATCTTGACCTGTGCCAAGATCAAAAGTTGGATGCTTCACTGACTGAGCCACCCAGGCACCCTGTACAGACATTTTTTTATTTTTATGTAGTTAAATTCACAGTCCTTCCTTTAATGGCTTCTTTAGGACTTTGAAAGATTTTCCCCACTCAGAGAATATTTAAAATTGTATCTTTCCTTCTAGCACTAGTGTTTCAATTTTTACATTTAAATCTTTAGTCTATCTGAAATTTATTTTGGTATAAGTTGTATAATAGGAATCCAACTTTTTTTTTCCAGATGGCTAAAAGTGTCCTTGCACATGTGGGAGTGTATTTATAGGATATACCATATAGGGGAAAAAATCCATCTTTCCTGAATTGTTTGAAATGTCACTCTTATGATACTTTAAATTCCTGATTTATTTGTGTCTATTTCTGAACATTCTGTTCTGGTCCATTGATCTGTGTGTCCATGTAGGGTTTTAATGAAAAAGGAGAAAAATATACTACAATAACAAAACAGTGTATGATAAGGGGTACTTGACTGGCTCAGTTGGTAGAGCGTGACTCTTGATCTTGGGG